GGGCCGGGGGGGACACAGGGTGAAGCTGAGTCTGGGCCCCCCCAGGCCGTGGTGCATTGGCTGGGACAGGCGGGTTCATGTGGGGAAGGTGTCCTGGGCACATTACACCAGGGCTGGCGAGGCAGGGGCTGCGGGTCGGGAGTGAGGGGCACCCTATGCCCTGCCGGTGCCCCTTGCTCCGGACCTGCAGCCTCCGCGCCCCCCAGCGCCCTTCACTCCTCTTGACAGGGCCACAACAGCAGAGGCTGAGTCTTTCCAGCTCATGTCGTGTGTGATATGACAGGCACAGGGCAGGAGCCTTGTGGGGCAGCAGGGGTGCCAGGCTGTACCCTGCCTCGGGTCCTGGGTCCTCACCCAGCGCTTGGCCCCTGGTGCTGGGTGTGGGGGGTGGGGCCTGTGGTGCCCCCTGGCTCCTAGTGGCTGCTGGTGGTTCCGGGTGGATTCATTTCAAGCCCTGGAGTCTGAGCCCTTCCCCTCCTGGAGCTGGATTAGAGCCAGGTGTCCTGCCTGCCCTTGCTCTTACTCAGGAGGAGCCTGGTTCCTGCCCACAGCTGGGAGTGAACCCAGGAGTCCCTGCTCCTAGCCCTGCCCTCTGCTCTAAGCCCCCCAGACTCACTCTCCTCCCAGTGCTGGGAGAGAACCCAGGCATCCCGGCTCCCAGATCCTCCTGCTTTAACCTCCCAGACTGGCTCCTTTCCCAGACCTGGGATACAACCCAGGTGTCCAGGCTCCCAGCACCTTGCTCAACACCCCCCAGACCCTTGACCCTCGCCTCCCAGAGCTGGGATCCTGGACGCCTGGGTTCCATCCCAGTTCTGGGAAGGGAGCAGGTCTGGAGGGTGTAGAGCAGGGGTGGGCAAAATGTGGCCTGCCAGGCGATTCTATCTGGCCTGCAGGGCCCCTAAAAAATTTAGAAAATTAATATTTATCTGCCCCCGGCTGCCTGTCATGTGGCTCTCGATGGCTTCCCAAAACTCAGTAAGCGGCCCTCTGCCCAAAACAATTGCCCATCCCTGGTGTAGAGTGAGGGGCTGGGAACCCGGACACTTGAGTTATATCCCAGCACCTTGCTCAACACCCCTCCCCCCCGACCCGCTTCCCTCCTAGAGCTGGGAAAGAACCCAGGTGTTCAGACTCCTAAGCCTCACTCTATGCTGTACTTTCAAGCCTTTTTCTCCCCACTTTCTTCTTATTTCTTGCCTGGAAATTAAACTGCTGCCCCCACTTTCCTTGGGACCCAGGTGTCCTGGTCCTGATCTCCACTCCCTACACCATGTAGTCTCCTGCTATGACCAAGTCCCACAAATGGCCTAATGGTGGGAGATGGGTGAGGGCAGTGCTCCACTGTGGATCCGTGTTCAAGTGCGAGGGGAAAAGTGCTGCGACTTGGGGAGGGGGTGGGGAGGAAGGAACCCAGGTGTCTGGGGCAGGGGGAAGAGCCACAGGTCCAACAGGGATGTGGGAGTCAGACTGGGAACCCAGGTGTCCAGGGTGGGAAAGAAACTTCCCTTTCACCCCAAGGGAGGGATGGAGGTGAGAGAACAGATCATGAACCCAGGCATCTGGGAAGAGAAAGCCATTTGCCATGATCCCCAGTGAGGGGATGAACCCAAAGGAGGGGAAATGGGTGGCCCCAGGAACCCAGTCATCTGGGACCATGGGCAAACAGCTTACCGTAGACCCAGGTATCTGGCAGGCGTTGTTGGCAGGGGGGCTGAGTCCTGCTTTGCTCCGTGCATGTCTGGCTGCTGCATGGCCCCCAAGTCCCTGCAGCTCTGCGAGTCCTGGGCCAGCCCAGGCAAAGTCCAGGCTGGGGGCAAGGGGGAGGCACTGGCACCACAGAGCTGGGGGGGAGGGTAGCTCCCACACCAGGCAGGCACATCCTCCTGCATACCCAATGGAGCCCTTTGTGTGCAGGCAAGTGGTGGGAATAGCAATGAGCCAGGGGCCCCTGGCCAAGGAGAGAACCCAGGGGTCTGGGCTCCCACCTGCTGCCCTAATGCCAGGCCCTGCTCCCTTTCCACAGTGGGGTAGAACGCAGGTGTCCGGGCTCCCGGTCCCCCAGCTCTAACCCATCAGAGCCCACTCCATGCCCAGCACTGTGAGCAGCACCCAGGCGTCTGGGCTCCCAGTTCCCAGCTCTCACCTCCTAGCGCTGCAGACAGAACCCTGGTGTCCGGGCTCCCAGTCTCCTTGCTCAGCTGACTGGACTCTGCCCTGGCCCCAGAGCACCTTGGGAAGCCCCCTCACGGGCTCCCAGCAGCCCTGGCTCTGGACTGTGGCCCCTGACCTGGGGCTGGGGGTTACATATTAACCAGCCTGTTTGTTTTGATGGGATCAGCAGCCTGGACTGTGCCCATACAGGGGCACTAGGGGGTGCTGTGCTTTGAGGGGGTGGGGGGCACTAGGGGTGGGGCCCTAGGGGGCTGTGACAAGAGGCTGTGCCCCCCCCATCCCTGCCCCCACCCTCATCATCTGCCTGTCTCCCCCAGGTGCTGCCAGGACGGGTTTGTGCTGCTCTCACAGCCCTGCTTGGATCCCAGAGACCCTTCAGCAGCGTCTTTAAGGTGAGACTCCCCCCAGACACCTGGGTTCTCCTAGCTTGGGCAGGGGAGCAAGGTCTGATGGGGTAGAGCAGGGGGGCTGGTACCAGGCCTCCTGGGTTCTATCCCAGCACTGCGAGGGGAGCAGGGTCTGGTGGGTTAGAGCAGGGGAACTGTGAGCCTGGACTCCTGGGGTCTCTACCCGCTCCATCAAGGGGTGGGTGTGGCTGCCAGCTGGGAGCCTGGACTTCTGGGTTCTCCACCAGGCCTCCGACCTCCACGTGGAGCTGAGCCAACACCTGAAGCCCCAGCCAGACCCTGGGGCTCTGGTGTTCGGGAAAAACTTCACGGACCACATGCTGACGGTGGAGTGGAGCCAGGAGAGGGGCTGGGGTAGACCCTACATCAAGCCCTTCCAGAACCTCACCCTGCACCCAGCCTCCTCTGCCCTGCACTACTCTGTGGAGGTGAGTGTGAGGCACAGCAGCCTATCCCAGTCACATCCTGGTGCCAGGTTCTCATCCGTCCAACTGTCCCCAACTGACCCCTTGTGTCCTGTCCCAGCTCTTTGAGGGCATGAAGGCTTTTCGGGGGACTGACCAGCGCATCCGCCTCTTCCGGCCCATGCTGAACATGGAGCGCATGTACCGGTCAGCCATGAGGGCCTGCTTGCCTGTGAGTACCCGGTGGGGAAGGGGGGCAGACACCTCTGTGCTCTGCCACCTCACTGGGCTCTGGTGGGTTACTGTGGTTTATGGAGCTGGGATCCAGGATGCCTGGGCTCTCCCAGCTGGAGGACCAGAGTGAGGTCTGGAGGGTTTGAGCCAGGAAGCTGGGACTCCTGGGTTCTTTCCCCACTCAGTGGGGTTACAGCAGCATATGGGGCTGGGAGCCCAAACTCTTGGGGTCTTGCCCTGCCTTGGGAGGGGTCTGCAGTTGGGTATGTCTCAGCCATGCCCTTCTCCCTGCCAGGTCTTTGATCAGGCTGAGTTGCTGGAGTGCATTTGCCAGCTCATCTCCATCGACCAGGACTGGGTGCCCTGCTCTGACAGCGCCAGCCTGTACATTCGGCCTACCTTCATCGGGACCGAGGTGCCCAAGCCCCAATCCCGAGGGGGAAGATAGGGGGTGGACTACAGATTGGGTGCAGGAGGAAGGAGTCCAGTTTTATCTCTAGCCTGGATCCCCCTCTTCTCCCTCCCTGCACCCCAAATCTATGCCCTGCTGACTGGGATCTCCCTGCCCTCTGCTCTAGATTCTGAACCCCATTCTCCTGTACCCCTAAATCTCAACCCCCCCTAGCCTGGATCAGCCTGAGCCCCTTGTACCTTGACAGCTCAGTCCCCAGCCTGGATCTCGCTACCTTCTGCTCCCCAAATCCAGGGTTCCTGTATAAACAGCCCCCACCCCAGAGGTGGCTGCATCTAGCACCAGGTGATGGGTCCCTGTGTCCCCTGCTCTCTTCTGTACTCCCAGCCTGGGTCCTCTGTGTGCACCCTGTACTTGCTAATCTGGTTCTCCTTTCCTAGCCCCCCCGTTGCTTCCTCCTAAATCTCATTCCCTTTGAGATTCCCTCTGAATTCCATGTGCCCTGAAATTGAGCCTCCAGTCTGTACCCCTCTCACCTGCCCTGTCTCCTGGGATCTTGACCACAACCAGCTGGGATCCCCCTGAAATCACCTTCCCCAAATCAGTTTGGATTCCCTGCCCCTCACTTTGTGCTGTCCCCCAGAATTTGCTCCCCCTCCACTGTGAAAGTCAACCTTAAAATCTTCCCCCTCCCGCTTGGGTTCTGGGGTGGCTGAGCCCATGAAACAGGGGGACAGTGCTCAGGTGGTTAATGCTGCATTTACCATGCGCCCCCTCCCCACAGCCGTCCCTGGGGGTGAGCAAGTCTGGCTATGCCCTCCTGTTCGTCATCCTGGGGCCGGTTGGGCCCTACTTCCCCACAGGGAGCTTCAGCCCCATTTCGCTGCTGGCCGACCCCCGCTTTGTCCGCGCCTGGATGGGCGGGGTCGGGGACTGCAAGGTGGGCGGGTGAGTACCAGGAGCACCATCCCACCTCTCCCCTGCCCCCAGCATTCCCCACCCAGAAGTTGCTGCATCTCAGTGCCAGGGGAGGGGATACTGTATCAGCAGCCCCTGACGTGCCCTACCCCACCTCTCTGCCCCCCGGACTGTATCCGCTAGATAGCCTGGCACTGTTCTCAGTGCATCCATGCCTGTCTCCCCTGCCTGGTGTGTGGGGGCTTGCTCTGCCCCTTACCCCCCAGCCTGGCACTGGGCAGGGGTACCACTCTCCCTCCCCATATCATACCCTCCCCCTTGGTGCTAGTGGTGCCCACCCCTGCCCTGTCTCCCCAGGCTGCTCCCCATAGCCTTTTCCATACCCTGTCTCTCCATCCTGGCACTAGGGGGAGCTGATGTCTGTCACCCAGGCTGGCACTGCCCATGGTTATCCCCATGGCCCTGCCCCATCTCCCCCATTTCTCCCCTTGCCCAGGAACTACGGCCCTACCATTTATGTCCAGAATGAGGCTGCCAAGAAGGGCTGCCAGCAGGTCCTGTGGCTCTATGGGGATGACCACCAGGTGACCGAGGTGGGCACCATGAACATCTTCATGTACTGGACTGATGAGCATGGAGGTGAGAACTCCCCTAGCCCTGCACCTGGTGGGGGCCTTGACTCCTCTGCTAAGCAGGGTCACGGCCAATCATGGCATGGCTGGGAGACCCAAGCTGTAGCAGCCCCAGCCCACCCCATGAGTGGTCAGCAATGGTCGCAGTACTGCAGTGCTGGCACTGGTGGGGGAGTAGATACCTGCAGCATGATGCTTCCTGCCCACTCCAGAGCTGGGGAGGGAACCCCAACGTCCTGGCCAGACCTGGGGTCACAGGACTTCATTTCTCCTCCTTCAGCCTTTCCCTGGGAGGTTGTTCTGGAGCCTCCCTCCTGGGTGAAGCAGCTGCCTGGCTGGTCCGCAACCCCACCTGAGAGGCAGCCGCATCTCGGTGCCGGATGTGTGGGTCCTGTGTAACCAGTCCCCCAGTGCACGCAACCCCAGAAGCAGCTGCTCTGGGGCCCAGGGAGGGGGATGCTGGCTGGGCTGACTGGTCCCTTCCCCTTCCAGATCTGGAGCTGGTGACCCCCCCGCTGAATGGCATCATTCTCCCAGGAGTCGTTCGCCAGAGCCTGCTGGACTTGGGGCGCAAGTGGGTGAGTGGGGTGGGCTGGGGCACGAGTTCGGGAGCGGGGCCTGTCTTGATCCCGCCCATGTCCTATGCAGGGGCAGGGCTTATTCCCCTGCTCTGGCCCCTCCCACTCCTGAATCTGGTCCTCTGCGACTCCTACCAACAGTGGGGAACTCCTGTTGCCCTCCCCCCACCCCCAGCAGCTGTCCCTGGCAGATGCCAAGGACTTCCTGCCCAGTTCACCCCTACTCTCACCACCCTACCCCCCACCTTCACTGCTATCAAGGAGGCCTCTCCCTTGGCCCCAGGGGTGCCACCCTCCATCCTTAACCATCTGCCCAGTCTGGTGCCAGCTATGCCCTGGGTCTGTGCCCTGGTGTGAAGAGGCCTGCTGAGTCTCCCCTAACCTTGGTGCCGTCTCCAGGGCGAGTTTAAGGTCTCAGAGCGGGTCTTCACCATGGCCGACCTGCTTAAGGGGCTCCATGAGAATCGGGTCAAGGAGGTGTTTGGGTCGGGCACGGCCTGTGTCGTCTGCCCTATCAACCACATCCTCTACCAGGGTCAGGTGAGGCAGCTGACAGGAAGGACTAAGGGAGAGGTTTTTGGTATGGGACCCATGAGGGACAGAGGAGGGTTGGGTCTGGGAGGGGCCAGGATGGGAAGGGGGTGGGAGTCAGGGGCATGGGCTGGAGGGAAGTGGGTGTGTGGGATGGGACTGTGGAGGGCGGGTCTGGGGGATGGTGGAAGTGTGGCTTGGGGGCAGGGGGCTGAGCTGAGCCCACTGATTCCTATCCCGCCTTCCAGAGCTACCACATCCCCACCATGGAGAATGGCCCGGACGTGGCCAAGCGCTTCCTGAAGGAGCTGACTGATATCCAGGTGAGAGCCACCCTCCAAGGGTGGGGGATGCTGGCTATGCTGAGCCAGGGCTGAGGGGTGGGCACATGTAGGGCATGACCCTGTGGGGAGGATCTTATCGGGCTGGAGGTCACTGCTGGTGGGGTAGGGGGCTGGGCACTGGTCCTGGGGGTCAGAGGTCACTGCTGCTGTCTTTTCCCCCATCACCACCAGGGGGCAGCACAGCCCCAGATACAGCTCAGGCAGGGTGAAGTGTGGGGGTTAGGGGCAGTCGGGCTGCTGGCTCTTTCTCATGCCCCCCTACCCTCTGTCTGTCTGTCTGGCCTTACAGTATGGCCGTGTGTCCAGCGACTGGGTGCACCCCGTCTGACCTGGGATGGACCTTGCCTGCCCCTTGGCCCTGACTCCTTCACTCCAGAGCCTCTCTCACCCCGACAGACCACTCCCACCCCCACAACCAGGGGCGAGGTGGGCTGTGGCTATGGCTTTAATTCTTCCCCAGTCCCATCTGTCTGGGTCTGGAGCCTTCATCTCCCCAGGTATCTACCAACCCCCTCCCTGGAATATCCCCCTGCCTTGGTGTCACTCCCCCTCAGCAGGTACTCCCCTAACTGGACCTGTACCCCAAAAGATCCAGGAACCCAAAGATCCCCCCTGCTTGGGATTTCAGAGTGGGGGCATCTGCCTGTCTGTCCAGCCGGACCCGAAGACAGTGCCCCCCTCCTCTTTTTTTAAAGTGCAATATATATATATATATATATAGACCCCCCCCCCTTCACCAACACACACTCCCTGTGGGTTTAATGGCTCCCTGCTGTTGCCATTAGCAATGTCTTCTGGGTAATCTGTCCTGCAATGCATTCTGGGAGACACCAGTGCCCTTGGCTGGGGCAGGCTTTGAGCTGTCACAATACCTTCTGGGTAACCCAGAAGCAGTGCATTCTGGGGAATGTCGGTTCAGTGGCGGAGTGGTCCCCAGGAGGGTTGCAGTGCCTTCTGGATAATCTGCCCCACAATATATTCTGGGAGGTTCCCACGTCCCAACAGGAGGACCCTGCTCATGGGTGCAATGCCTTCTGGGAAACTGCCCCCATGTGCCCTGCTGCCAGAAGTGTGGCATTCTGGGAGAGCATGTGGCACCCCAGGGGCGGGCAGGGAGAGACTCCCTGAATCACTGCAATGCCTTCTGGGTAGTGCATCCCAGAATGCTTTGCTCCCAGGGCAGAGGTGTCTGAGACAGACCGGCCCCAGGGAGGGCGGGAGCTCAAGGAACAATTAGAATCAAAAGGCCTTCTGGGTAACGATATTCTCAGCATGCTCCTCCTGCAGCAGTGCATTGTGGGAACGGCTGGGAGGGCCATCTTCTGCTGCCATGTCATGACCGTGCCTTGGTCCCCTTTCCTATTGCCCCCGCCTGGCTTAGAGCCCAACTGGTGCAATGCATCCTGAGAAACCACTCATCTCCGCAGCCTGCTAACGGTTGTAATGCCTTCTGGGTAATTTATACCCTGCCCCGCACTTTTGCTCCTGGGAGCAGTGCATTGTGGGAGAGATTGTCTGCCTTGGGGGGTGGCAGCTGCCTACGAGGTGTTTCAGGGGCTCCCCCTGCTCAATTATGAAGCTGGGGGACATGCATCCCAATCTGGGCCCGTTTCCCCCACTGCCCCATCCCCTCCAGTGGTAACAGCACAGTTGCTCAGTGGTTAAAGCTTCTTTTGTATTAAATGGAATGTCATTGGCTGAAGCCTGGTCCTGAATCCATGTGTGTGCATGTGGGGAGGGGGATATGGAGGTTAACATGACCCAAGTTTGGGGGTCCTTCATTATGCTGGTCACTGCCCAGCCCCCCACTGAGATTGGGGTCTCTGTAATGCTGTACAATGCCCCCTGAACCAGGATCAGGGTTTAGGTATGCTGTATAGACCCCTGCCCATGGACAGAGGTCAGGCACCTGCTGTACCAGGTGTTGTACAGACCCCCCACGATCCAGTCCACAGGCTGAAGGGTCAAGGGCTGAGCTGGAGGAGGGGCTGGGGGCAGCTGGTAGCACTGGGGGCAGGTCATGGGGCAGGGGTGGCAGTCTGGGATTGGGGGGGACAGCTGTGGGGGCTGGAGGGGAGCTCCATTTCTCTCCTCATCACTCAACCCCTGCCTGTCCCCCTCTCCCCCATCATGCCTGGTGCTGCAGGGGGATGAGTTAGGCCACCTAGGCACTGAGCAGGGCAGAACAGGCTGACGTTGGTCCCATGGCATCCGGACCCACGTCATGAGCTTTTGGGGGGGGGGAAATCTCATTAATGTGATGGTAAGCCCTGCTGGGAACCAGACACAGCCGGACACATGGGGGGCAGGGCAGGGCAGGGCAGATCTGGGCCTAGGGCAGTGGCTGGTCCCAGGGCTGGAGATGGGGCAGGGTCCTTTGCCCTCCTGGGGCCCAATAGGTGTGATGCTCCCTCACCCCACCACCCTCATTTCTCCACTTTCACCTTCCCTTCCTCCTGCTTTCCCATTCCCCCTCTTCCACCAGCCTTTCCCCTGCTCCTTCATTTATTCTTCCCCTCTCTTTTCCACACAGCTCCTGGTTTTGTCCCCACCCGCTCCTGGCATCCCAGTGCCCCCCACCTCCCGGCATCCCCCTACTCAACACCCCTAAAACTCTTGTCCTTGCCACCCACTCCCCATTTCTGTCTCCTCCCCCCAGAATCCCCCCATCCCTCCCTTTCTCCTCTGAAGAAGTGCCCCCCTGTGCCTCTCAGGTCTGGGGGGGGTAGAGGGCTTTGGGGTCTTTCTGGGGGGTTCCCCCACCCCTCCTGGTCACATGAGCTGGCAGCCGGGAAGCAGGATAAATATTT